TCGAGTCTGTTACTGCTAAATTAGAGCCATGTTGATTTGTCCGTCGTCTCTACTTAAACACACAGATCTGTTTTTAATTATACCATTACTCTACCTTAAGTTCCTTTCTATGTTTATTTGTGCATTTCTTAAGATTTTTACATTTTTACAGTCATAATTACCATCACAATTCCAGAGATGTTCAGCTACAGAAGATGACATAGTGTTGCCATAGAGACGACGGTCCAATCAACATGTTCCATTTTAAATATTTATCTAACTTAAATATTCTCTCATTTACGATTTACTTTCCACCCCTTGTTTTCTTGACTTTGAATAGTCGGCTGTAAGTAATAATAAATATGTTACCTGTCACTGAGCCAAAAAACGTCGGTTTTTGTATTTTTGTACTCTGAATATCACAGCCCAATTTGCCCGGAAAGAGATTATATACGCTATCCGAATTTGAGAACCACTGACCATACGAAGATCAACCAGTCAACAATAACCGCCACTTTACTTTTAACCGAATAACAGGATTGACCGACACACTTAAAACACGCTGGCAACTGAACCTTGTGAGCGTATTCTTCTGATCCCCAATACTGTACGCTAACCACTACGCTAATATAATAGGTTGTTAGGCCAAAGAAGCTAAACTTCATGTCATATGATGACAGAAAGTTGATGTGAACAATACGTCTGGTGTACAGGTAATTCTACAATACCTTCATTGTTGTAAGTTTCTAATTAGTTTTCATAATTGTTGGAGACTAAGATTATTTTATGAGAAATCAGATAACGAAAAAAAGTGATTTCCTTGCTCACGAGAAGAGAAAATGGGTCTGTACGTGTAAAAATTAATAATATTTCGTTACATATATTTATATATTACAAATATGACTTGTTGTTGTTTTAAAATAGGTGTCGCTGATTTTAGTAGATGCAACTTGTTGTATAACTGTTTGCTGTTAACAAACTGCATGATGGGCAACGCGTGTAGTGCCCACCACAGAGATCGAGCTCCGAATTTTGGTGTTATATGCCCTCAAGCAGTTATAAGAGGTGCGTCAGCATTTTACAGATATTTCATGATTCAATGATTCAAACAATTGAACGTTTGAGTTAGACCTCGTTATTTCACTTCCAACCAAGCAAAATAATGCCCACTATTACGTTTTCTACAACCAAATTTTCTACAGATTTCCAAAGTTCAAAGCTTAACTAAATTTACCCTTATAATTGCAAAACCCAGAATTTGCCCTGATAAAACGTTGTACTGAATTGTCACTCCAAGATATTGGTTGGGCAGCAGTTACCGTTCACTAGACATATAATTTGGATATTGTAAAGAGGATTTTGATAACCAAAGCGGTCGATTTTCGTGGCTTTGTGCATATAAACAGTAAAATATAATTAAAGATATTTTTATTTATTTGTAGTTAAGCACAAAGCCTCACAATGGGCTATCTGTGCTCTGCCCACCACGGGTATATAACTATATAGAATCAAAGTGTAATATTTCTTCCTTAGCAATAACATGACTTTTTACCATCATTAAAAAGTGATTAAATGAACCAGTGAATAGATTTTGTTTAGAACGAGCAAGAAATAGATAACAAAGATAATTAACAATGATGTATGTATATTAAGACAAATCAGTAAGTCTGTCATCCTTAGAGGAAGGACGTGGCCAAGTGATTAGCGTTTCGGACTGCAAATCGAAGGGTTGAAGATGTGAACAGGTTCCGCACTTGTTATAAAAGAGCCAAATAGCTTGAGGTTACGGAATATTCTGACTGGCCGCCTTCCTTCTAGAAAGTAGTTCAAGAGTAGAAATAATTTATCTAATCCCTAAGGGTCTCTGACCAAACCATTTGGTCTTGTGCATAAAGTGTCGTTCAGTTGGCTTGTTTGTTTGTTTGTTTGTTATGGATTTCGCGCAAAGCTACACGAGTGTTATCTGCGCTAGCCATCCCTAATTTAGCAGAGGGAAGGCAGCTAGTCATCACCACCCACCGCCAACTCTTGGGCTACTCTTTTACCAACGAATAGTGGGATTGTCCGTCGCATTATAACGCCTCCACAGATTGCGAGTCGAGCTCTCTAACAACCTGGCCATGTTCAGTTGGCAATTCCAATTCTGTTATTCATTGTTGGTGTTATTTTATTCATTCAATATCTTTCTGGGGCACCTCCAAACTTTCTAGAAACAGCCATAAAAGTATACGTGTGTTGTAAGTTTGTAATGCATTTAAGTAAAAGACGCAAAACTCAAAAGTTTTCGAATAGTTGACTATTATTTTGTAGTTTTGGGTCTTTTGTGTGTGATATTGTGTGCTAACTCTTCACGTCAGAACTGTAAGTCAGTGCAAACCAATAAGCAGAACGCCATCTTTTAAATCGTCGTATATATAGCGCTGGGTAAACACAAGTTATCAGCTGTTTCTGAATACTTGCTGATTGGTTCGTTGTTCCGCTTATGATGTTGGGTTGTGATCTATAGCAGAACGTTTTTTTTATTTAACTATTATAATTGACATTTTCTTTTTTCTGACTGTGTTGTAATATTTCTCAGCGTAACGTTACTTCTAGAATCTGAATATTCTATTATTTTTCAAATCTCTTTAGGTTTACTTGTTTGTTTCGTATTTTTCGCGCAAAGCTACATAAGGGCTATCTAAGCATAGCCGTCTATAATTCTGTACTGATAGACTACAAGAAATGCGACCAATCAATAGCACTGAATCCAAACTCTTGGGCTACGTTCGAATAATAACATTTATCCGTCACTCGTATGAGGCACCCACGACTTCAAAGTACGAAGCACGTTTTTGCGGAAACGGGACGCGATCCATGAACCGTCTAATTCACAGTCCAAGCACGCTAACCACTAGGTCACATCCGATCCATTTCGTTAGGAAAACATTTGTTTTTATATATGATCCAATATGATAGACTTTACGGATTATATAATTCTGTTAGGAAGAGAGACTGTTAGGCTATCTGTTGAGGCTACCGTGGGGAATCGAATCCCGGATTTTAGCGTTGTAAGACCCCAGTCTTACCGCTGTCAGTCAGGAAGTCATTTTTTTCCACAACATTTAATAGCTATTTAGTTATTATTCACTTTCTTTTTCCAGGGCGCCAAGAAAAAACAACAAAAAATTTTATTTGACAGTTTTCTTGTAATCTCAGCAGGGACTTCCTGACTGACAGCGGTAAGACTAGGGAATTTTTTTCCACAAAATTTAATAGCTATTTAGTTATTATTCACTTTCTTTCTCTTTTTTGTTGTTTTTTCTTGGCGCCCTGCCTGCTGAGATTACAAGAAAACTGTCAAATAAAACCTTAGTCTTACCGCTGTCAGTCAGGAAGTCATTTTTTTCCACAAAATTTAATAGCTATCTAGTTATTATTCACTTTCTTTCTCATTTTTGTTGTTTTTTCTTGGCGCCCTGCCTGCTGAGATTACAAGAAAACTGTCAAATAAAACCCTAGTCTTACCGCTGTCAGTCAGGAAGTCATTTTTTTACACAGAATTTAATAGCTATCTAGTTATTATTCACTTTCTTTCTCTTTTTTGTTGTTTTTTTCTTGGCGCCCTGCCTGCTGAGATTGTAAGAAAACTATCAAATAAAACCCTAGTCTTACCGCTGTCAGTCAGGAAGTCATTTTTTTCCCACAAACTTTAATAGCTATCTAGTTATTATTCACTTTCTTTCTCTTTTTTTTTTGACGCCCCCTGCTGAGATTAGAAGAAAACTGTCAAATCAAATACTCCCAGACAAACCAAATAAACGTCGGAAGAAAATGGAAACGCCTTGCTTTTTTTTTCTTTCTGTAGCCAAGATAAGCATGCAGATACAAAGAATGAAATTAATCTGATATGCAGCATGTCGGGAGAAACGTCAAAATTAAAAGTTATCACACCAGTAAAATGTCACATCCATAACCATACCATTAGGGGATGATTCTTACATCGAACCAGCTTGCATCATTGTGACACACACAAAACGAATAAAATATCTCTTGGTATATAAGAAACTTTCGGAAGAGTTAGATTTCGACTTAAAAAAGGACGCGTTTTGAAAAGTTAACATTTAAAAGATGCATGAGAATAACAGAACGTAGGGTTACCGATATTGTCTTATACACAATAATCTCTGATGACATTTAAGTGAACTGTTCTCATATCCATCCAGATCTTACACTAGTGATATTTTCTTGTTTATTACATAGGCTAAAACTGCTTTATAAAAAGTATTCTGTTTACATAGATATATATATATATATAAAGCTGTCATAAAAAACTGGTAGCTTTAAAGCTATAGTCTCTATATTTATTAGTAAACATAGTTTAAAGATAACGAATTATGTAGAAAAGTAATTGTACCGTAAAAATATTCTAGTTTTAAGTTAACATCTCCTTTTCGGTGAGCACACATTATGTCTCAAATAGGTGGACTAAGCATTATACAGAATATTTTGAGTGTTCATTCTTAGTGTTTTAAGTCAAACAAATATCTTATACAGTTTGATGTTATGTGTACCCCTTTACAACACTTAGTGTTTTGAATCAAGTAAATATCTTATACAGTTTGATGTTATGTGTACCCCTTTACAACACTTAGTGTTTTGAATCAAGTAAATATCTTATACAGTTTGATGTTATGTGTACCCCTTTACAACAGCGGGAAGAAATTCCGTTTCTGCATGGAACCAGTTAACTTTCAGCAAAGAAAAAGCTATCATCGAAAAGGCTAAAAAAAAATCATTGATGATTTAATATTCTTAGATGAACAGAGAATAAAGCCCGGCCATTCTGTTTTATCGATTAAGCAATGAGTACAGTTATGGCGGGAACTAAAGGTACGAGCCGGTATGTTCGGTATGTGTTTTCTGCTGTTAATAGGCAGCCGAAAAAAATGGCCTCACAGAGAGAGAACTACGATGTTCAGTTACCGTTTATTATATATATATATATATAATCAATCTCGGAAATTTTATTTGTTACTTACCTTAGGCAAAATATCCACGCACTCACTATAATTTGTCCAGTTCCCCCACATCCATTCGCTATCTTCATTGCACACCCTGTATGCAAATGCATCTGAGAAAGAGATACGTTTTGAAATGATTGGCAGACTCTGGTACATTCTCTTTTATCTTACGTAGCACCTTCAACCTTTAGATCACTATTACTACTATACTAACTCGAGCTAGAGAAATCTAGTTACTCATTAATCATTTTCAGCATTTATATTTGATTATAAACATTTCAACTGTCAACTTATTTATGATCTTACAATCTAATTACTAAGTGATATCCTCATCTCTTAATACTCAACATTTTTAAATTTTGTTAAGCCTAATTAAAACCTTTCGATTTAACAGAAATCTGTTGGACAAGGAGTTGGAGAGTAATTTATCGTTTGTAAAAAAAAAAAAAACTTACAAGGAAACGAAGTTTGTTATTAGGCATTTAATAAGGAATTCTACAAGTATGTTTTTAAATAAGTTAGGAAACATTAGTTTCGGGGTTTCTATTGAAAAAAATTGTTGTGAAGTTAAGCCTATCCGTGAACGTAACTAGGAAATGTTTAGTAATATATTTACCAAATAATCCAAAAGGGCTCACCCACTGATAAAACACTTTACAAAAGTATTATGTAGTGATTTATGACTAGTAATTTAGCAGGAAGGACAACACGTATAAAGTGGTGTATAAATTTTTGAAACGTACTTTTGAAAATCAAATTAATTATCTGTCTGAAAATTAATATAAAGTTTAACAAAATAAGACTGAAATATGTTCAGTAGACTGTTTCGATTATCATAACCACATCAGTGTATATAATATATGCGTTATAAACATAAGGGAAAGATTGAGTGAATACATTCAATAGTACAACATCCCCCCCCCCCTTGGGGTTCCCCGGTGGGACAGCGGTAAGTCTTCAGATTTACACTGCCAAAATCAGGGGTTCAATTCCACTCGTTAGACACAGCAGATAACCCGATGTGGCTTTGCTATAAGAACCCCCCCCCGTGGATCTTCAAAAACAGAAAAATTTACGGACTTACAGCGCATAAATTGGTGGTTCGATTCTTGATACAGCAGATAGCCCATTGTGTAGCTTTGCACTCAAATAAACAAACAATAATACCACAGAAATATTGAAGAACTGCGTTCATTAATATGCGAGAAAAATTGACTGAATAAGTTCTATGATAGATACCCGAAAAAGTTGTTGTTTTTTTTGTTATGATATTCACGCAGAGCCACACGAGGGCTGTCTACGCTAGTTTTCTGTAATTCTGAACATACAACATGTTGAGAGAAACGTAAAGCTTCAAAGTTAACAATAAAGTAAAACGTGAAAATGTGCAGAGAGAGATGTGGTGGTGGGGAGGGGGCAAATATATAATTGTTATTTGTTTTCTCAATCTAGTATTTCTAGTTTTTATGTGCAAGAATGGAAACAAAGGAAACTTAAGATATATTTCCAAGCATTAATCTAAAGTTCGATTGTTTCAAGAAAATCGGAACTTAAAACTGGGATACACTAATGAAATAGTGGTGTTTGACTATCACTTTTATAACACACCCATGGCCCCAAAGTGCGGAGTACGATTTTACGACAATGAGACGATAATCATTGAATCACGCCGGGCCTTTTTCGGAAAAGATTGAATTCATTCAATACTACTAAAGTAACACGAAGTGAATACGTTCAATCATATCCGAAAATTCCATTTTTGGTTTGTGCCAAGATTGGAAAAGATTGAATTCATTCAATACTACTAAAGTAACACGAAGTGAATACGTTCAATCATATCCGAAAATTCCATTCTTGGTTTGTGCCAGGAAAAAAATTAACGTAGAATACCGTTGAATTATTCATTATCTAAATTTTGTTAAGTGATTCAATTTAAAAGTTTGAAATGTTAAAATAATCTTTAAATTTCTGCATTAGTAAGTTTAGCTTGTTTGTTTGTTTGTTATTAAGCTCAAAGCTACACAATAGGCTATCTGTGCTCTGCCCACCACGGGTATCGAAACCCGGATTCTAGCGTTGTAAGTCAACAGACATACTGCTGTGCCACTGGGGGGCTGTAAGTTTAGCTCATTCATTTTAATGTTTTAGTTAACGGATCTTCAAACTCGGAAAGGCTTAAATTTTTAACAGCAAGAAAACAAAACGAATAAGAAAATAGGCTCCTTGTGTAAAAACTACTCTACAATGAAAATCGTTGTAACTGTTATGGTAATTTAAGAAACTTTTATGTAAAAAGCACATTTTACTTGATGCGGGGATAGGAGGTCGAATATATAATATATTATTTTGTCCTTTTTATCCAGTGTTTCTGGCTCTTGTGTGCAAGAATGAAGAGAAAGGGAACTATGTTTTCAAACACTTATCTAAAGTTTGACTGTTGAGCGAACAACAAAAGATAATGTTGCTCTTTAAGCAATTGTACCTCATAATTTCAAAACCATCGTTAGCGGATGAAAAATGTATTTAAAAATATCATAGAGATTCCGCTTATAATGTTTAAAAAAGTAACTTATCATTGGAGCTTGTCCTCAGTTTTTGTTACCTCGACAGCGATACAATTATAAAAACCAGTTTATTAGCAACGACCGTTTCTGCTGCTGATATCTAGAGAGGGGCCTTGTACGACCTGATGGATGTGGCGCTCGATTTGCAATTTGTGGGTCGCGAGTTTGAATTCCGTCATCAAACGTGCTCGCCCTTTCAGCTGTGGAGGCGTTATAATGTGACGGTCAATCCCACTATTCGTTGGTAATAGAGTAACCCCAAGAGTTGGCGGTGGGTGGTGATGACTAGCTGCCTTCCCTCCAGTTTTACACTGCTAAATTAGGGACGGCTAGCGCAGATAGCCCTCGTGTATCTTTGCGCGAAATTCATAACAAACAAACAATAGGAAGAATCATTCTATAGTCTGAATAAAAAAACACAATATGTTCTTTAATTAGTATAAGGAAACAAGATTATCGCTAAATAAAAAAAAGCTATGTAGGACTGGCTTCTGAGATTGAAAAAAGGAACCAAGCACGATATTGATGGAATTAGACATATCACTTGATCCAACTAATGATCTCATAGCAGACGAAGCTGTCTCGACTTTACATGGAGAATAAAATCCTTACATTACTGGCTTTCCACTATGTCTATAGAAAACTTGGTGTTTGAATAGAATCTCATCATTATACCTTTCCATTAGTTAACTTTAGAATATTACTTTTATGACTATTTTACAATAGAGTAACATTTTACGGATGAAAAATTGTGGGTCTGTTTGTTTTGCAAGTGAGGAAGCCAGTAATGTAGGGATTTTATTCTCCATGTAAAGTCGAGATGGCTTAGTATCCTATGTGATCATTAGCCGTCCATGTGATACGTCTACTTCCATCCCTATCTTGTTTGCTTTCGTTTTTTTTAAGTTCAATGGTCAGCTCTACATAGTTTGTTTTATTTAGAGATAAATTTGTTTCTAATACTTGTTTGTTTACTTTTTTTTGAAAAAATGATGGCGTACATGGGTTACAGAGTGTATTCTACAGCTTTATAAATGTTTCATATAATAATAATAATAAAATAGGTTGTCCAAGATCGTGAAGATTGTTCTGCTCTATCAAATGATGATAACATTTTAGTTACTGGTAAAACTAGGTAGGCGCTAGGCCTGGTGATGTACGAAAATAAAAAAAATCTAGGTTTTGGGACACTCTAGATAGCTGAAAAGCGTCATATACACCGGAGATAGAGCGGCTCAGTCAGGTAGCTCTTCATATCTAGCTTGTGATGAACTGTAGAGAAGAAAATTCAGAAGACTTTGTATTGCTTTAATATGGGCATCCGTACCATCACTTCATAGAGTGCTACACACTCTTCGTTAAAGAATTATCAGTGTGTGTGTTTTTATTACAGCAAAGCCACATCGGGCTATCTGCCGTGTCCACCGAGGGGAATCGAACCCCTGATTTTAGCGTTGTAAATCCGTAGACTTACCGCTGTCCTAGGGGGGGACAATTATAAGAACAACAACATATTATCAAATTATGTATTTATTACGTTAACACTAGGCTGATTATGATGACATATATAAATTAAATACAATACGATTAAATTAGAAACACCAAGACTGTTACAATACTTCTCAAATCTGATCAAAAAACACACTTGAATACGAGACTATGAAACTTTTAATATATATATATACTTAAAAACATAGGTCTGTTTGCTTGTTTATAGTTAAGCACAAAGATATGCAATGGGCTATCTGTGATGTCCTCACCACGGGTATCGAAACCCGGTTTTTAGCGTTATAAGCCTTCACATTTACCGTTGTGCCACTGAGGGGCAAACATAAGTCACTGGCCCAAATAACATATACCAGCTTCATGACATTTTTAGTTAATGAAATATTAACCAATGGAAATATTGTGGTCGTAAAACAGTGTATTTCTGTCACATTCATTGTTATATAGTATGCTAGTGTATTTTACTTGCTGAAAATCCGAAGTTTCACAATGTCGGTGGAAATGCATTTATTAGTTTGGTTATGTCCCCCAAGAATCTAGCGTAAGTAGACTTTCAACGGTAAAATCAGGGTTTCGATTATTCGCGCAGATAAAAAAAAAAACACAAAAACAAACAAACGAACAGTCGCTTGGTTATTTACTGAGAGTAGTCACACTGTAATGGATCAAGGAGGTTTCTTATTTATTTATGAAATTTATAATTTCTTCAGAACATTTTTTTTTGTGACTCCCTCAATGTATATTACGAAACGCCAGAGGAAAACAAAGGAAAATAAAAGTCTTGAATCGGTTCGGTAGCTTTACTTTAAGTTCATTATAAAATTTGTTGGATATTTTAAACATCCTATACATGCACTCTCGAAACACTCAAACTCCACATATTTGAGAAGATTGTTTGTTTGTTTGTAGTTATGCACAAAGCTACACAAGGGCTATCTGTGCTCTGCCCACCACGAGTATCGAAACCCGGTTTCTAGCCTTGTAAGTCCGCAGACATACCGCTGTGCCACTGGGGGGGGGGGGGGGTTGAGAAGAAGAAGCAAATGTATGTTTACGCTTTTGTTTTAATCTTTGCAGTGTACTTTGAAAAAAAAATTACCTTTGTTAACAGTACGATTAAATATGTATAATTATTTAATAATTATATTTGATATTACTAATTAGTTTAAAGCCTAATTAGTTGCAGCTGTTGATATGCTGAGAACTACAGGGAAAACTCAGAGTAGAAGTGTGGTAATAGCGCCGGTAGTCGATTCTGGGTTTTGTCTTCTTACTAAAGACTAGGTTCTAGCCACACGTTCGAAGCCTTCTCCCATTAGGACTTCAATCAACTAATGTGTTTTAATGGCCTCAAGAAGAGTTTCTATATTTTGCTTTCTTCTATACTAGGTTGAATAAATGTTACAAATATATATTGATTCATGCTGGTAACAAACTGTTTTGTATAAATAAAATGTTGCCCAAGACCTGATCTCCCAGTGTTGATTATAATTTTTGTAAATTAATCTCGGATTGTAAAATGACGTACATCATTTTTTTAAACTATAAATGATTATTGGTTTATTATGCATTTCGCGCAAAGCTACACGAGGGCTATCTGCGCTAGCCGTCCCTAATTTAGCAGTGTATAACTATAGGGAAGGTTGCTAATCATCACCACCCACCGCCAACTCTTGAGCTACTCTTTTACCAACGAATAGTTGGATTGACCGTCACATTATAACGCCCCCACGGCTGAAAGAGTGTGACGGGGATTCGAGGTCGCGACCCACAGATTGCGAGTCGAACTCCCTAACCACCTGGGCATGTCGGGCCCATAAATGTTTATTAAATCTATACATACGTACCCCTGTCTTCATTAACATGGCTTAAGGAGATAGTTGTTGATGCCAGGATTTCCTTACACAGTTTATGAACCATGTGGCCAGCTGGTGTTGGAGGCCAACATAAAATCGAATCCCAGGCGGCGCCGCAGTGTGGCCCTGTAAAATTTGGTTGGTTAAATTTTGTTGAAAGGTAAATAAATAGATAAAAAGGATATTAGTTTTTATTGTTCTTTGCTAATTTTACAAATGTGTTTTCAAAGTAAAATACTTGAAGCTCATTCCAGATAAATATTTAGAGCATCTTTTCACGAACGTTAATTTCTATCTTGAAAATAAATTAAAAACAAAATACAAGTAGTTGTATTATATTAACATTATTATCGAGTATGCAAAAAAAAAAATACGATTATTATAACTGTAACAAAGTAATTGGAAAAGGGAATCATGGGACTTTATATTAAAACCAACACACATTTTTTGTAATACATTCACAAGTTTACATGCTAATGTATTTTAAAAGAAAAAACACCAAATGAAACATTTTAGCTTATCTGACATTTCTGAACTGTTGCAAGCTTCTAAAAAAAATACAGTAAAATAATGTTTTTATTGCATATAAAAAAACAGTTATACAATGTCATACTTTTGCTACATTTTTCTTTATAACTTCGATGCTAGCTTGAAAACGATATCAAAAAAGCTAAAGACTTTTCTTGTTATATCATAAAATTAACATCATTAGGAGGGAGATCATATTTGTATAAGGCTTTAACAAACAAAATCGGATCTATAAATTAGGAGAATTAGTATTTTACATCTTAATTATTACTTATCGATACATTTGAAAAAAAAAAGAATTAATTTGACTTACCATTGAATATATGCTGCTTAAAAAATACTTAAAATCGCGAAATGTTTTATAACCATTTTTAGATACACTTTATTTCATCAAGTTCAACTATATGCCACCAGGGATGCAAAGACGTAAATTATAATATATCTCTTGGATCAATTAATCAAACAGCTTTAAAATGTTACATTAAGCATAACAATTAAAAGAGAGTTTTCCATGTCTGTTTGTAATTAAGTACAGAGCTACACAATGGTCTATCTGTGCTCTGCCCACCACGAGTATCGAAACCCGGTTTCTAGCATTCTAAGTCCGCAGACATACCGCTGTGCCACTGGGGGGCGTTTTTTTATGTCATCAAACATTTAAGTTAACTGTGTTCTCTAAATATGGAATACTGTCTTTTTATTGTTACTTTCATTAGCACAAATCCGGCTCCAGCTTTTCTTACCTGGAGGGGGTGGGTGGGTGTGGGGTATTTTGACATATAATGGAGCCATATTTAGAATTAGATGAATAGACAACATTAGCTTGTGGAGACAACGACATTTCAGGAGGCGATCCCCTGATCCCCTTTAGCGCCCTCTCTGTGCATCTATATGAAGAATTTGATGTGAGCTTCTATTATCTGTACTTCAAGTATGGAACCGAATTAACAATTACTTCGTTGTGATGTAAAATTCAATCAATAACATAAGAATTAATAATTCACGTTATACTTTAAAAACTGCTTCAATGTTTTATTTAAAAAAGAAAATCCATTAAGAAAAACAAAAAGTAGTTTTTAAGGTATTTCCGGAGTAAATATGTTTTCCAATACAAGAAAAATATACTGTTACTCAATAAGTCAGTAATCTTGCCCGGGAAGCATGAATTTTTTTTTTTTTTACTTAACCTGTCTCAGTAACAAGACATTCGATATTGGAAAAGATTGTGTACCAACCCTCACACGAGAAGACAGAAACATATTGTATTCTGTTTAAAGGTTTTATTTAAACAAATTCGGTGTCATGCACAAAAGCCTAAATACATATACCTAAGAGAAGAAACGTATAGTAAGAAAGTGAATTTTAGCATATTTGTGAACACAAAATTTTTGCGAAAAACTTGAAATCACGAATAGAATTATATTCATGGGTGTGTCTGTGCAGCATAAAAGCAGCTACACACTGTTGTTTTCAAGTTGATATCGTCTTTAGTAAATGCACTTCGAAAGAAAAGCTTTTAAAACGAATCTTTCAATGTATCAGAATATTTTTCCAAGAGGATGATCTATGAAATAAGCATCATGATTTAGGAATAATTCTACGCATAGGTGGGCAGTGTTCTTTCATTTATAAATTTTAGTCTTTTTTGCTGTTGGATGTGCCCTACTCCAAATACGTGAACCCTGATAAATATATTTCGGTTTCATGTATTAGTGAGCAGTGCAGATCTTAGAAGCAAACTACCGATTTTTATGTGTTGGTAGGTAATGTGTTACGTCCTTCTTCTTTAAATTATTTTCTTATAGTATTGGTAATAATGTTTAAAATAATTTTAATTATTTGTATTATAATTATTTTTTACACCTACGACGATTAGTTGGTATTATTAACGATTCTAAATTAAAGTAAATATTAATAGAATTGTGGGCGAAGCCTTCCGATGGTTCAATTGTCAATCTGGGGACTTCTAACGCTACAAATTGGGTTTCGATACCCGAAATGGTCAAAGCACATGTACCTCCTTATGCAGGTTTGAAAACTTTAATTTGTGGCAATTACCTATTGAAATGAAACGAGACGACAACGTTTTCTTCTACTTAGAAAGAAACCGAAACGTCATTTACTTTTCTTTCAACACGCAGCTGCAATACATTAAATTTATCAAACCTTTTATGTCTACTCTGCCTAAAGTTCCACTGAAACAACATCCCATTATACATATTTGCGCTTTAGAAGAAACCAAATTTCGGCTGAAAGTATCATTAACAGCGAGTTACTCAACCAGGGATTTAATGATGTCTCATCAGCATAAGTTTAGTTTCATGTGTATCGATTTATGCCATTATATATTTGTAGACAGTTTGTCATATAGATTTGAATCTTTTAACTCATAATTTACTTATTTTTCTGTTTTAAATCTATAATTAGTTTACCGTTGATTAAAAATGATTAACAATTCCTTTGATGGATCGCTTGACAGAACAGCAACATATGGATTACCTCCCCTTTTTTACATCAATATTAATCTAGTAGGGAAAAGTGAGATAAGACGGTCCCCTTTCGCAAAAAAAAAGAAAAGACACCTTTTTATATCACCAGGTATACCATGCTGCCATCTAAAGTGAATTATATGTAATTACTGTTCACGTTACCCCGTGCAGTAACACAGGTATCTGAGGATCTTCGATTCGGCGCTACCAGATACTCTTCGTACTTCCAGCATGATTGTGATGTAAGAACGACAATAAATCCTCCTGCTCAGTTAAGAGCAGCAGCTTTAGGCAGCGGTTGCTGCCGGCTATCTTGTCTCAACTTCAAAGTTAGAGACAGCAAAAGAGTCTTGACTTGACCATTTGCATATTTTGTGCATAAGGTGTTTCTCAGAAGAAAAAACCAAACAAAAACATTTGGTACTTATATGTTGAAAGCCCTAGTTTAGGTCAGGTTTGCATTAGGAAACCCACATTAATATTTTTTTCTTTCCCAGATACTCATTTTAATACAAAGTAATAGTTTATATACGGGGATTATAATACAGTATTTCCACCAATAGTATGACACATTCTTATTTCAGAAGTTACGAATACTGTGCGTTCGTAGTGAAAAATTGATTGACTGGTCCACATTGAAGAACCTCAATTTTGCTATTCTTTCTTAACTGTCTGAATATATCTTCTCGCAAAAATTTTTCGTGTGTGAGAAAATGAAAAGAGTTTTAGTATTTACTCACACGTACAGGCCTGGTTTGAGCTGGGTAGGCAACTGCCTAGGGGAGCCAATTCAAGATAATCGACTATTTTGCGCTCGCTCTTCATCTTTTGCCGTGTATTACTGATCGATTTAACTATAAAACAAGCGTATATTAGGTTCAAGAAACCAGACTTTAAAAGAGTTCTTCTAAACTTTGCAGCTAAAAAAGAAAAATGCGAGAAAAATCGAGTTCTTCCAAAGCCTAATAGCTCAGCGTGAGACAAAGGCGTATTAAAATAGAAGTTTACTAGAAATGGCAACATTTTGTTCATATTTTGTTTTCTACTGAACAATTATTGACTGGTTATGAAGGCAACAAATGATCCGTTGTTCGAAATCACCAGTCAATAATCGTTTAATTCCAACCCATCCCCCTCTTCTTCCGTTTTGAGTTTTACTAAAATCTGATTAATTAGCGCTACCACATAGTATACTTAGCTTACATCCTCGGTTCTTCATGCAAGTCTTAAAGTTCAACATTTTACTGAAGATTTTGATATGGTTGTAAGAATCAATAATAAATCAATAAGATTTAGAAATTGCTTAATTTTTCAAAATATATCAGCTCATCATCATGTGATAGGCTGTACCAAATTTTAATTGACTTCGTGTATCTTTCTCTGAGATGCAGAACAGAGATCACGTTGTCGTTTAATTACTTACCGACAAGAGTGAGTCATTGTAACATGATTAAAGTATAATAAATGCAAGTATCGGTAGTTTCTGATGTCGGCATTTAAACCTACGGTGAAAGCTACAGTATTAAAATCATATTTAATATTGTAATTTTTTCTGTCTGTGGATGAATGAATACGTACGTACCTTCAGCTATTCATTAGCTGTGGTTTTGAAATTTATGTGTTAAATTTAAACTGAAGCTAACACACTGATATGTGTTTATGACATTTATTTGAAAAAGTTTTTCTCTTTTACTTTGTGTTTTAAATTATCTGTGGCCACCGCTGGTGTTTAACCCGCATTTTTAGCATTATTAACTCATAATCTTACCCCTAAACCACCTGGGGACTTTCTCTTTGATAACTACTTTAACATAGCTGTTACACATTAACAACGAGCTTCTATTAGTAATGAAATAAGGACCGGGGATACATAAACAAGAAGCTTATCTGAAGGTATTTTGATCATAAGAGTTTAGTAATTGTATTGATATTTGAGTTACGTATTTATGATAGAGATATATAAACCATATTACGTGGATATTCTAATTGTCTTCGTATTAAAGGTTCAGTAATTATTCAGATATTTGGATTACATTACCAGTATGGTGATGGCTAATCAATATTAACTGGTTATTGAATTGTCCCAATGATAAAGGTTCAGTAATTATT